ATTATTGCACAGGAAGAATGTTCGGATTGTGCTGATATAAACTGTTTTTATGCATTAAAAGTGATACCCTTTTTTGAAAAAATAACATTTTTAAGAACTCCAATTTTTTAGTACCATATTTACAAATTACATAAATAAAGATATAGCCAAACCCTCACGTACAGTCCTAGTGAATGTCGTGTTTTGTTGTAAGTGTAATACTTTTATTTAAAATTGTGTTCTATTATAAAGAAATGGTTGTTGCACATACCACAGTTATTTTTCCAATTGTCTGAATCTTGATTTTTGTTTGTGGTGCCATTCAATAGATGGCGCCACATTGTCTTTATTATTTCGTTCACAATCATAGATACTGTAGCAAGATTGTTGTGATGACACATCGTAACCCATTAGACTGCAGAACAGACATCTTGAAGAGAAAGGGATCCTACATTAATTTTTGGCATTCAATCTTTACCTGAAACTAGTCATTGTTTTTAACAAAAATAGATAGGGATATAATTTAAGTCGTTGCTATGGTGTGTTTCAATGGACTACAATTACCATAGCAATGATTATAATAGAGGAAATGTTTGTTTGGGATTTTTTTCAATACAAAATTCAATTTTTCAATCAGAAAATCCTACACATCCAATCTGACCCTGCACATTATTATTTTTTATACTATTTTTTTTTGTAATGGTTCCCATGGAAAGACATAGTTTCCAAAGCGTTTCAGTAGTCATAGAACCTGTGTCCTCCTGTTAAGTAAATAATAGAGCATCATTCAAAATGTTTTGTGCCAAATAACATACTCTTAGCCATAAGTTTATAATTATTGACAAAATCGACACCTACATTCTCTATCAAAAGCGAATTTTTCCACTAATTTTTTCATCTTTTGAAAGAAATTGTACCTTAGTCACTTTGGGCTTGCTGTTTGTTTTCTTTTCTGTGCAAGTATCTTTAAAAAGATTTATTTTAAAGGCTACCAACCACTTCTCGCAAGAGTTTTTTTCTGTAGCTTAATCAGAGAAAGGAAATGAAACTCTGCTACTGAAAATATCGGTAATAGCAAGAGTACCTGACTGACAGAACAAATCCTTTCTCATTTTTATAACTACGAACGTTGAAAAAATACACTTAATTAGCTATGCTCATTAACGGGTTGATTTTAAATTTTGATCTAAGTAAGTAGTTTCTTTGATCAGTAGACAATATTGATTTATTGTGGAGTAGACAGTATCGTCTGTATCTCAAGAAGATAGTACCCTGCCTTAGTTGAACGGACTTCTGATGTATTTCTCTTAAACATTTATAAAGATATATCCTACAAAAAAATTGAAGTTTTATACGCCCCCCCCTCTTAGAAAATTTCAAAGTTCATTTTAGTTTGGTTAGGAGTAAGTGTCTCCAAGGTTAAAACCTTTACCTCGCAACGTTTATGTTGAGCATCTCATTAACAAAATGGTACTCGTAAAGATTTTATTACAAAAAGTTTTATTTCGAGAGAGCTTGATTTGTGGTTCAAAAATGTTTTTGAACAACACTAGGCTAAACTGTAGTTTTATAATGAAATGACACAGAAGTTATTCAAGCCAATAAAAACAAAGAGAAATAAAATCATTATACTCGGTTCCCGTTTTCAATACCGTTTTTTGTTGTCGTCTGTGCGCCATTTTGAAATTTAGCTAACAAAAACAAAACAATTAACTAAAATACTACAGATAGTTCAAAGTCAATAAATTCACCAATTGACTCGTATTGGTTGCAATGCTTTTTTGTTTGTTTATTTTACGTCACAATGCTACCAATTAAAGATTACATAGGCCTGAGATGATTTTATTGTCTTGAAATTTTTACATGTCCTACAGTAATTCCTGTTCACTGATTTCAAAAACGATATCCATTTTTCTCCATCACGTACAGATTTTTCACAAAACGTCATATGTACTTTTACAAACGTGAATCATTTTAATTGAAATCGGGTCACATTCTGTTACGCTTAAAATGTTGACAGACACTGGCTATACATTTCTCTATACCAATCGCGATTTGAGAGTCTTATCGATCGTTTTAGAACCCACGAGAAACACACTCCCAATATATAAACGGTTAACAGGCTACTTGACGTGTTATTTCTGAATAGTATTTCTTTGTGTGCGCGCTCTTTGACATTTTTTCTTTTCAATATTATTTATTCGTCGCTATGGCAACAAGAGGTTGCGTAAATGACCCAAACATATTCCGTTATATTTGTGGTAAATTGGATATAAGTTATTCTTTCTTCCCGATTTGTAAAAAAAATCCTTACGTTATAGAAAATATGAATATTATTTTCGAAATCTGCGTAGCTGAATTATGAAAAATCCGTTATTAAAACCAAAACGATTTTTATGAAGTTTAAATTCGCAGGCCTGTGTCATTAATTGAAGCCTTTCCTATACACTATGTTATTGCTTTATACTGGCCGAGATAATACAATATGAGGCTAATCTTCCACACAGTACACCCAGGTCTTTAAGCATCATAAATTTGTTTATTTGAAGAGCTACAAAAAGAGCTATCTGTGCTCTGCCCACCACGGGTATCGAAACCCGGTTTTTAGCGTTGTAAGTCCGCAAACATACCACTGTGCCACTGGGGGACAACACCATAAATTATGAATTATTATAAATAAATGAATGAATGAAACAGCTTTGTATAAAATATATACAAAACTGTTTCATTCATTCATTAGGTTCAGACGATCGTGTAATTGAATTTTCCAAACATTGTTTGTGTGATGTTTTGTACACACTTTCTTATTACGCCGAAAACTTAAAATTCAGATCGTAACGAACTAAAACAAAACACTGCTACAACTAGATTCGAACAGAAAAATAATTTACTAAACTTTAACAACCACGGAAATCAAAACAAAACTTTCAAACAATTCGAATACAAATTTTATCCTCTTAAAAAAAAAGTTCATAAATCCATGGTTGGCCATGACTTACAATTTATGTTATGAGCTTCAATAAATAAGGAAACTAGGGAAAAGAACCAGAAGAAGAAAAACCAAATTCCGAAAAACATTCCAAAATCAAATCACACCAATATTAATAGCGAACAATAACTGGTTTTAACTACATCTCGTTTATTATTATTTTTTATTATTTATGCTTGTAATTTATGGGGGCGCCATCAGTCATATCTCGTTTAAGCTCAAGATAGGTTTTTGTTTAGTGGTTAGACCACGAGGGTATAAATATCTTGTAATTTGTAATTTACATAATCTTTCACAATATTTTAATATCCGTATGTCACCGCCAGGGGAACTTGTGTTAATTTCTTAATATAAACATACACAAATTCAACGTGCTCTAGCTAGAAAGTTAGTTAGCAATTTAATATAACTAACAATTCATAGTTAAACAACTTTTACTAAATGATAGAAGGAATGATAAGTTAAATTACTTCGTACAAGTTCCAAATTTTCGTATCGTTACTTTTATCTCTTTCTTTATACTGACACTAGGAATCCCTTACAGTTTAAGTATAAACACCTTACAAGGAAAAAAACAACAATTCATGTTCTGGAATCTTCAGCTTGATCTTCACTAGCTCCCGTGTCTGGTCCGGCTTACCAAAAGTTTATTAGACGTTCGAAGACTAGCTAAACTGCGATAATCAACTCTGCAACGTGGTCGTAATGTATTTCGAGTAGATAGAGCAGGTAAAAACATAAATAACCCATTAGCAGGATCCGTTGAAGGATTAAAAAAAAAAAAGGACACAACAGCAGAAGCCTTGCGTCTTGTTGAAGTAAGGCCTCTAAATCGTCTGTAGTCGATATTCCTGTTTTGACGCAACTGCTTAAGACGATTATCATCTTCTCTGGTACTCAAAGATTTTTCACTGGGGAAATATATGTATCTCTGTATATTAGAAACACGATATCGTCCTATAATTTCACCTGATACGTTTCCTTCGTAATTAAGATAAAGGTTAAGCAATTATAGCAAAGTTTGAAATGAACTGATTATACCAAGCACACATACCCAATAATGAGCTTAATTCTTTGCAGTTCTTTGGAGTTGGGAATTCTTTAACAGCTTTCACTTTGTTATCATTTATGTGTACTTCCTCAAAAGTAAGTATAAATCCTAAATATGATCCTTCTGGTTGGCAAAATTTGCTGTATGAAGCTTGTAGAAAACCAACTCAAGGTCTTTCGGGTGTTGTTCAAATGTGGGTGAAAACTTATAATATCATCAATATAAGTTTTGGAACATTCGGTTGCTCCTGCTAAAGCCTTATCTATAAGCCTTTGGAAGACTGCAGGTAAATTTTTCAAACCAAAAGGCATCACTTTAAATTGATAAAGTCAATTATCAGTTATGAAGGCAGTTTTATGTCGATCCTCCATTTTTACAGGTATTTGCCATTATCCACTTTATAAGTCTAACGTACTGGTATAGGTAGCATTTGACAAAACATTAAAATTATTAATTATATGAGGCAATGGGTATCGGTGAGATTCTGAGTCTCAATTTTTGTAGTACACGCAGAATATATAATCATTAGTTTCTTTTTGACAATAACTACTGGAGAAGCCCAAGAAGAAGTGGAGAGCTCTGTTAATCCATCACGGAGCATTTTATCCACTTAATCATATTGAACTTGTAATTTATGTAATTTATTGGGTGAGTAGCGATAAGGTTTACTAAACACTGGAAGTTCAAAAGCAGTTACAATATCATCTTCAGACAAATCTGTGAGGCCAGTCTTATTGTTAAAAATATCTGCATATTTTAATACAAATACTTTTAATTGTTCGCCGTCTTTACTCTCTAAATGTGAACACTGTACTTCTTTAAATAGTATTTTTTCAACCTCAGTGTAAAAAAAAAAAGCAAAGGACCAGTGAACACATCAACAACTATTAATACACAATATATTTCTTGGAATTAATTAAATAATACATGGAATATTTACTATATAAAACAAAAGGTACCACTTCGTCTCGTAAGGGCGATGAGGTGGTGTAAGGTCGCCTATTCTCGAAGGTTTTACTTTGAACTTGCATTTTCAAATTTACTAATTTTGTATAAGTTATCAAATTAGTTTAACCATTGTTTAGTTACGACTTTAACATAAAGTAATTTTGATGTAATGGTAATATCAATTGTTAACGTTTAGGAAAAGTTAAGCTAGAAATTTTAAACTTCGTATACACAACACACTATACTGTGTTACGTGTGTATTACTATTAAGTATTAAATATTATATATAGTGTATGTAGGCTTAGTAAACTGCGTGTAGGTTGTAACTAACTGTACAGTATAACTTATGCTATAGTATAGATACTAAAAGTTAGTTTGCATACTTTAGGCCTAGGAATCATTAGTTTGAATATGTTAAAAGTGTAATTTTTAAATAAAAGCTGGTATGGATGAAAATTCTAAAAGTAAGAGTGAGAAGAATAACTTAAAATCCTACTGGAAATTGAATAAAATTAAAAGTACTGGTGATAGTAAAATATCAAATGCACAAAGGACTCACCAGGATTTTGAATCAAAGTTCACTAAGAAACCACCTCATTTCAAAGTTCCTGGTAGTGGTATAACATCCTATGCTTACCGACACCCAAGAAGATTTCATCATTTATTTGTTGGTGGATGTTTGCTGATTTTTTTTAGTCGCCCGTTATATGATATTTTCATTAGGAGTTATGTGGAAGATGGAAGTTTTTCATCAGCATTGAAGTCTATAAAAAAGACAATGGGTTTTGTGACTGAAGAAGTAGGTATGTATAACTTATCACAACATTTTTATGTATACATTATCGGAACTTGTATATTTTTGTGTATGTATAATTTAACATAAACATATTTCATTTAAATTTTGGGCTGAGCGAAGCTCAGTGGTTTAAATGTGGCACTGTGGATCTGAAGTTCACATTCAAGAGCATCGTTTCACAAAAGGTGTGGGATGTGGTAAAGAAGGCTAACTTGTGTACATTTTTTTTTATCTGGCATGACTAGAAATGTTATTTGGAGCCTCCAACCTTGAGGGTCTTCCTCTTCCAAATGATACCTCTGCTCACGTGGTTTAACTCTAACTTTCACTTTTCCTCCCGTTGAGAAAGCAGTACCTCAAATATATAATAAGTGTGATAAAACTTGGTAATATACATGTACATCATCTGGAAACATTTCACATATGCACAGTTGTTTCACAATCAAATGCTCATTAAATTCAAGTTTATTTTGTACACTTGGAGTTTGTAAGTTTAATTATAATGGTAAAATTCTCACTCAAATGGTTAAAATAGAGTTTTATACATTTCGGTGGTAAATTGCAAAAAAGACATTGGGATTGTCCTAATTTAATACCTTGAATCTGAATACGTGCACAGACATGTCTTCAAACATAATTGTAATCTTTATAAGTCCCTATATACGTATAAATGCTAAGCAAAAAGCAACTTTGTGATATAGAAAAAGGTCTATTTAGCAGTAACAGTAAAGACATTAGGTTTGCATAATCACTTGTTTGCAATATCTCTCATAAAGGTGTGAATTTCACTTTTCATTTTTTCAGTATTTTCATGTTAAATATGAATTTAGGCCTAGCTTGGGTATAAACCACATTGTATATAACTGTAAATTTGTTTTGATTACAGATTTTATAGATAGGTCCCTATAAGTTACTGATAATGACATATGATTTGTGATGATTAGCTTAATATTTTGTATTTCTTTTCCTTGAAATGTTTAAGAATTAAAGGTGATATGATTCTAGTGCTCATCACTCTCAGGAGATAGACATTCTTCCTATGAATATTCTGACTAATGGGATTAAAAGGTTGGAAAGTGAACTTTGATGTTAATGGTAATATGTTACACTGTACATTCTGGTTTTAGTTATAGAGACCTAAATAAAGATGTTTTCATTGACAAAATATTTTTAGGTAGTTTAATAATATTGTAGAATGGTTGTACGTGATGTGTATGTTTAGTTGAAATTATTTTAAGTCTTTTAATGGATTAATGTATGGGCATGAAGTGCTACATTTAATTTGTGTGATGTTTTATTTGGGTGGAGTATGACCTCAAAGAACCAGATGGATGTTTATTTTCATGTTCTTATAATTTGCATTTTGTTATTATCGTTAACTTTTATGCCTGTTTAGAAGCTATCTTAGCAAATTAAGTATTGTTAGACAACAGTTTTCAAGTACAGCAAAGTTCAATATAGAAATGCAGTTTGTGTCAAGTGCTAAAGTGACTGTGAGAAATCTGGTCTGAGCAGCTACATGTTTGTATACTGTGCAATAATTTATATTTAAATAGAGTATTTCTCTTCATGTGTTGATAAACGTGTGTGATAATTAATAATATATAATTTCAATTAAAAGCATAATTAAAAAAGTATTACAATAATTGGTATTGTTACTTGTATATAGATGTTAAGAGCTTAAACAAAGCATCATTAATTCACACTAATGCCCTGAGATCAGTGCTTTACTGTCTGGATAATCATTACTCTAATCAGTTCTGATTGTTTTGTGTACAATGTTCCATTCACTGTGATTAGTTTGTCTTTGAGCCTATTACAACAAACCTGCATCCTTTTGCTAACAACACACACAGAGTCCAGTAATATCTTGAATAATCATGCAACATTTAGTATCACCAATGTATAACCTATGTAATGTGATGGTTTGTACTTTCAAATAAAATTTTATGTTTGGTATATAGATATTAAAAGCTCAATTTTATTTTGGTTCTTACAGCCAGCCTTTTTTTTACTTTGTTCTGTTATATGCCTCCATAATTTACTCATTTTTCCATACATACATACATATTCCTGTTGATTACCAGTTGAACCTTTACACCCTGTTCAAAATTGTTTTTCAGCTCTTGATGTGCAGAAAACTCGTAAAAGTAGAATATTTTCCAAGTTTTGATAACATTCTGGCTCTGGTTAATAACTACATAAAGTGCTTTGCTAATATTAGCTTTGATGTGTAATAGTGAAAGGAAAAAAAAAAGATTTCCATCTACAGATCTGTGTCTTCTTTATATAATATCCTGAACTCTAGTACATCGCATGAAAATTATATTCTGGTTGTTACCCAGTGGTAAGTCTGCAGACTTATAACACTAGATACCGGGTTTCAATAACTGTGAGAGGCACAGCACAGATAGCCCATTGTGTAGCTTTGTGCTTAATTGCAAACAAACAAATATGTTCTAGTCTTCTGGTACTTTAGTATATGTAATTAGTGAATCCTTCTTAATCCTTTCTTTACCTGTCTTAATCAACAGCAAGGCTCAAATCTGTTTCATACTTTTACTGTTTTTAACATTATAGAATTATCATATGATTACATTTATACATTATTGTTCTTATAATTCTAGTAAATTTAGGTCTTTTCATTTGAAATATCAAAAATTGCAGTATATTTGAGATATTTTGTTTGCATTTTGAAGAATTTAAAGGTTTAGTTTTTGAATGAAAGTAGAAGTACTTTTACAAGAACAATGTACATATGTATACTATGTTAATCCTTTTTTTTTTTTCATTACAGGTGTTACAGAAGAGAAAAAAAAAGTAGCCTAAAAATAAAAATCTGTTTGTAGTAATTTTGAATGGACAACTAATTCATAGTTTTCTATTAGTATGGTAGTATTTACCAAGCAGTTAGACATGGAAGGTAAAAATAATCAAATTGAGTTGACTTGTCTTTCTCATGAGCTCTTGTGCCATGTGATTGATTACTTGCCTCTAAAAGAGGTTCTATCATTGGTACTGCTGTGCAAAAAACTGCAAGATGCTGTAGCTCTGCATTTAAAACTGTGTAAAACAATCGACCTTGCCGAAAGAGAGGTTTTTGGATACATGCCTGCTACCATCACTGATGATCACTTACACGCTTTGCTTCAAAAGTGTCCACAGCTGGAGGTGGTGTATGGTCTACATCCATGGAAGGTAGAGAGGCGACGGCAGCGTAAACAACCCACTCTTACAGTTCAGGGGATCATGAAAGCCTTAAGTTTATGCCCAAACCTAAGTGGTGTGGAGACGTCAGACTTAAGAGTAGCTGAAGCAGTTTTGCATCATATGCCGCAGGTAGAAATTTTGGGACATTTCCAAAACCGCACGGGTGATTTTCCTCCACGGTCATCATCAAAGTTTAAATTTCCTGCCTATCCTCACATTAGCTCACTACATCTCTCAGGTAGGATATAAATGAGTTTTGTGTATACATGTATAATCTAGTTTTGTAATATTCATTGATTGTTCACTGACTGAAGTCCCCTGAAGGGACAGTGTTAAGTCTATGGCCTTAGAACACTAGAATTGGGGGTTCAGTTTCTTGGAGTGGACACAAAAGATAGCCCAATGTGGCTTTGATCTAATACAAACAAACACTGACTGAAAATGCTGTTATGGAATATTAATGTTTTTTATTGCATATCTCTGCATGAGTTATTGTGTCAACCATATAGCTATTAGACTTGCCAGTGTACAGGGTTTCTTGTATATATCTAGGCTGTCCGTTTCACTAAACTAAACAAAGAAAACTTCAATCCAGCCCTTAGCATTTCAAATAATTATTGAGCTTTCCCATATACTCCATTTAATTTATTTCATCTACTACATCTGAAGACAATCCATTCCAAAGGTCAACCACCCTGTTAGAAAGATGAAACTGTCTTATTTGAATATGACTCGTACTCTGCCCAAACTTATATATGTACCCTAGTTCTTTAACAATATTACACCTCAATATCAATTCCCCTCTAACCCCTTTTTTAAAGAGAAAACAATTTCAAATATCTTAACCTTTCATCATATGATAACTTTTCCTTCCCATGTATCATCCTATCAGCCCTTCTCTCAACCCTTAATCCAGCTATGTTCTTTTTATCCAACTTATCCACCACACCAATATAAGTTGTTTTTTTAACTAACTTTTTATATGGAACCTTGTCAAAGGCTTTAAAATTCAGATATATCAAATTCATACCCTTATCTTTATCCACATAATAGTAACCTCTTCAAAGATTAGTAACTCAATATTTTTTCTTGTATGAGAAAACCAAACATGTACAGAGTATTCCAAGTGAGGCCTAGGTAATGACTTGTATAGAGATAATTTCCTCGTTTGGTAAATGTCTTTAAATGCACCCTAAAATTCTGGTAACTTTACTACCAGCAACAGAGCATGTTTGACATGTATGCAAAATCTAATTTCAGACCCTGATGTAATATAAATATTTTCTCATGCTCTAATGTCGTTAATACTTGCAGTATTTTCTCATGTACATGGTGTACTTCATACCATTGTATATTATTATGTTTGCTTGCTCATGAATGTAATATCAATAGTGAAGATGCTTTTGTGATTATACTTTTCCTATATACATATATGTTAAAATTAAATAAATCTCCGCTGATTAACTATATGGCACCCATGTGGTGCATCCTGTGCCAAGAGCAAGGTTAAGTCATTGGATGAAAAGAATTGCAGAAAATAAACTTGTCTTTTTTTAAGCACTTTTTTTTAAATGAATACTTAATGGTTGAAATGTGTTCAATAAAAAGTTTCTTTTATTTAATTTTGTGCATTTCAATTTTAATATTCAGTTGAATGGTTGAAATGTGTTCAATAAAAAGTTTCTTTTATTTAATTTTGTGCATTTCAATTTTAATATTCAGTTGATTTCAAGAGTGCTTCGAATGAAAACATTATTGTTTGTGAATTTTCTGAACATAATTCAGCACTGATAGCTCACTAGTAAAAAATTTTAACTTTTTAATTTTGGATACAAGTGTTGTTTTATTGGTTTGAGTAAATCAGTTTCTCAACCTCTGTTGTCATGGTGTGACATAATTGCCAATATCTCAGCTTTGACAAATTGTAGATTAGGCTAGTGATTTAAATGCATAATGAAAGCTCTTTTTCTGTTGATTTCAACTGTATAAGCCAGTGTGACTTCCATATCAGCAGAAATTCATGTCGAGATCAGAGCAGAGTAATAAAAGCTTAGTTTGGTGATATGTTGCCAGAAGGAAAAAAAAAGATGCTTGTGAACAGGTTCTGCCATAATTACAGTCCTGATTTTTTTTTAAAGCTCACTTTTATCATTTTGTACTTAATTTGAATTATGACATTACAGTATGATAGGAAAGGAGATGTTTTTCATGGAAAAAAGTGAGGTAGCCTTAATTAGATTATTTTACACTTGACTGTATTAAGTTTCATTTTACTCACAAGACCTTTGTTTGTGTTTAGGCCTTATTGTCTAAGCAACTGTTCAATTGGCAAAGAAAATAACCAAATAAAATTTGAAAAAATATAAATGAATATAAGAGGTTTAAACTTATTACATATAGTAGATGAAACATTCTGATTAACAATTTAAAAGTTATTTTTACTGTATGCCAGTGATTTTAAACAAAGTGAAACTGTGTGTGTGTTCTGTTTTTTTTTAATCAAAACAAAGATAAGATTTACAGTTTCCTAAATTGAAAACTCTATAAGAAAATTTCCCAAAACTTTAGGAAGATATATAAAATTTGTACTTAAAATGTACAACAAAAGTAAGCATTTTTTAATGTTTATTTAAAAAATTGCAATAAAACTTCTTGTGTATCTTCAAAGCTGTGGATACCTGCAAATATTACTTATGAAAATAATATGTTTTATTTTTAGAAGCAGCATTATTTGTAAACAGTTCATCTCATGTTTAAAAGTATTTCATTTGGTAGTTTTATTTGTTTTTTTATCATGTAGTAAAATGAACTCTACAGCAGATGAATGAACTGACATACCCGGTCATTTTAGAGGTTAAGTCATTGTTTCAAAATCATCTTACTTATTTTTGCTTCATGAACTTCTCTGTAATCTTAGTTTGACTGTCATTTGTGACGTAGAAAAAATACCAGCTCTACTGCTGTAGTATTAAGAGTATTATTTACACTTTAATGAAAAAATACCAGCTCTACTACTGTAGTATTAAGAGTAGTATTTACACTTTAGCAAGGTGATTTTGTGTTGTCTTAATTAAGTATGGAACCCTGCCTTAAAAGTTTTTATCATTTCAATTGTTTCATAATGTTGAAATTTAGCACTTAAATTTTAATGCTTGTGAATACATAGATATGAAAAATACATAACATTCTGTATATCTAGTCATTTTTACCAAATTATTCTTATTGAAACATATATATATATATATATATATATATTATTTTTAATCATTTTAATTTTGGTTTATGTAATTATCTTACTTTTGGGTAGAAGTTTTTGATAATTACATTAGTTAGACATAATTTTCACTGTGCTCTTTATAAGTGGACTAACTTCCGAATACAGCACAGTGTAGTTTTAATTTTCCTACTGATTAAAACATATTTAGATTAAGTCATATATATATATATATTCTTGTTTGCAGAGGTCTCATGTACCACAAGCATAAACATTAATATATTTTAGAACAAGTGAAGTACAGTTTGTTCATGATAGAGCTCTGAAAAATCAGACCATCCAGAATGACTAGTTACTCAGAGTTTTTAATTTTGTAACTAAATCTTTTATCGTGGCACTTAAATTTGATTCAATATCAAGTGTTATAGTTCACCCAAGTGTTAGATGAAGTAATGACAATAGCAACAAGTTAAGAATAAAAATACTTTTGTCCATTGTACTGTTTCCATATTATATTTGCATAACCTCTAAGACCTCAGGAAGATTAAATTCCCTCATGTAATGTTGCATTTCCTCGTGATTTGGTTTTTATTTAATCCATGCAATATGTTCACTTTCATTGGTTATAACTAATGGAATACCGATGGACCATGTATTCCCGATTGGAAAAGCCAACTAAAAAGACGGAATTACTCAAGCAAAGTTAAATTCCTCGAGAATGTGGGAATGTAATATTTTTGATCCCTTGAATATAAATGGCAATATTCATGTAATTTTGAGTCTGTAATGCCAAGTTTCAAGTTGATGAAATGATATCTAAAAGAAATTCCCAGCATTCAAAATGTACACATATAACAGCTCATCTGTTTTAACTTTTCCCACTAATCATCTTTACAATGGACAAAGTATAATTTATACTTTTAATTTGCATAATTTATGAGTCATATTTAAAATTTAGGATGGATAACTTGGCAAAGTTTTGCCTCTGAGAAAACATTTGATGATAATTGTCAATTAGTTATACATAATGTGTTTTTTTCCATTTCAATACTAGGTGTAGAAGTACCAGAGCTTACAGTTATGCCACAAGTGGAACACATGTATCTACATGGTGTAAGATTCACTAAAATTAACCCCTTCAGAGGTTTCGTTGCTCCAAGTCTCAGAACTTTTGTTATGCGTCACTGTATGGGTCCTTCTGTTGCTTTGAGGTCAGTTCTTTTTTATAGAAAAGGTCTCTATAATCACTATGTTTTTTATCTCAAATATATATTGTGGATATTTTACATTAAGTGTCTGTACGTTTAGTTTTCTGCTATGTACATTGCAGTAAATCTGAACCGTTTTGGGGGATTTTAACATAATAGTTATTAACAAATAAGACTTGGTTTAGTACTTGAAAAGTTGAAAATATTTTGTAGAATTGATTGATGACTTTTTTGGGAGAAGTTGAATGTCTGTTTATTGTGTGAACCAGTGGACATTAGCTTTTAATACATTCTCTAAATCAATATGTAAAACATATTTAACAAAACCATGTTTTACTACTTATTTCTTCAATGTTTGTATCACTCCCTCAAGGTATCTACCTCTGGTTGTGACTCTCAGTAGTGCAACCTTTCTTTCTCGATTGGAACTTGTAAGGGTTCCAATTTTAGGAGGACTGATCCAGCGAGCAGTTGAAGATAGTTGGCGTAATGGTGGCTTTCGAAGATTACGCACTCTGGTCATAGGTGGCTGTAAGGTTAGTGATGATACTTTTTGCACTGTACACAGCATCCAGTTTTGTGTATCTGGTGTTGTGTGTAATACATCTTAAAAGATCATTAACTATAGACCTAAAATTTGTGTATAACTATCCATTAGTCATCTCATTCGAAATAATAGTTTAAATACTGAATGAGACTGAAAAGTTGAAATAAATTATGCTTTGCATAAAGCTTTTATAACTTTGATATATTAATGCTTTTATGTAAAATATAAATTAATTACCTATTTGTATGTTTTGTGTATTACTGAAGAGGTTTGTGATGTTTATAGAGCATACGTTTTAAGTGTATAACAGAAAGTAACATTTAAAAACCTGAATTTGCCAAGTTATGCTACTGTAATTTTAACTCACTTTATTTAAAGCTTGTTTTATATTGGTAAAATCATAGGAGGAACTGGTTAAATTAGTTATTTCTTAACTTATTCACTACAGCCTGGTCAGAGTGCATGTCATGACCTTTTTACAGTGTTACAAACAAAACTTAATTAAACCACTTTATTATCAGTGTATTTCAATAACTTTGGTATAAAAACATAGTTTATAATTCAGAGTTATATGTTATCTGAGTTTTAGTTTCTTAATTTTAAAAAAGAAACACTAAAAAAATTATCGTTCTTAATTTTTCTGTGCCACTTGATGCACCTGAGCTCCAACGTCTCCCCTTTAAAATTTTATAATTTCAAATATTTGTTGATGTAGTTTCATTTTACTGAAGTCTTTAGCTGCATGATCATTAAATTGATACTCTAAACAGCTAAAGGAATATATTGTCAACAATTTAAAGCTGAATAGATTACAAAACATTCTGTTCTAGTGACTGGAGTATTTTTTGTATTCTAAGATGCAAATTTAAAAGCTATGTGAATTCTTTTTTTTTTGAACACCCAAATTTCTGAAAATCAGTGAGGTCTACAGAATAATGTGTACTCAAGTACAAAGTGCTTGGCGTTTCACTGCGTTTTGTCAAATCCTTGTTTGTTATATATATATATATATATATATTTTTTTTGTTAACGAAAATAACTAAAATGTAAAAATTTTAAACTTGTCAGCTTATCTTGGCAAATTTTCCGCAAAGTTAAAGTATAAAATTATACTAGCTCAACCTTGTGTAACAGAACACCTCACAGTCATGTGTTTACTTTAGCTCGACAGGAAACGGCTAATGAGCTCGAGCTCCTGCTTTTCACACAACTATTGCTAATTCAGTGGGTACAGTTATAAAGGACAGCAATAAAACTGTAAAATTAAAAGTGAAACTGTAACTTGGAACTTTATTTATGATCAGTACTGCAGAATAAAAAAATGGGAATAATTATTGTATTTCATATTTTCAAGTTTTTATTTCAATGTACATTGACGATTTCACTGTAGTTTGTTGGGATGGAGAAAATAAGGGATGTAATATAAAGTTTTACTGAAAAAAACACTTGATCTTCATTTAGGAGGTTGTAGAGGTTATGAAAATGAAATGTGAAAACTATAATACAAAAAGTATTTTCATTCTTTGATTGAAAATCATTTTTCAGTCAGACTGACTCAGTAAAGGCTTCAGAAATTCACAGAGTAATCTTTAGTAAAAATACTTTATCAAAATATTGTTTCTTTTTTGTGCACTAAAGAATTTTTAATGTTGACTAAAATTTTACCAAATTTTGTCAAGATATATATATTAGTAAGTTCACAGTTACAGCTTCACAGAAACAGGCTTGATCAAATGGATTAACACTGTTCTTAAAGTGTTAAAACTGATCTGATATTACAAGAAAGAGAAAAAAATTAAACCTTTTTAATAACTAAAAGTTGCTTCACATTTCAGAACATTTTGGAATCTGATATTGGACACTTGATTATAGTGGCTAGTGGTAATCTTGAGAACCTAGCTATTCAGCCATCTCTGACCAAGGATACGCTCTTTGTTGCTTTGTCTTGTGCACAAGGAGATTTCAGTCGTCTTCAGTCTCTTCATCTTGGATACGTGGAGGAACTTCCATCCAAAGGTAGGAATTCTTTGTTCAGGATTTAATAAGGGTTATCCTTTAAATATGGAAATAAACTGATACTAAGAAATTATCCATGAATATTGAACTAAAGTAGATGACTTGAAATCAATAGTAGTAATTATCATGCTTGAGTTAACTAAGGATCTCATTATATGAGCTTTTAACTGTACTGAAATAGAGGAGGATTTAAACTGACTTCTTAGACCCATTTAGAAATTTTTAGTAAATCTCTACTCAAGTGCTTTAATTCTTTTTGTGATGGCATTTCTTATTTTCATATTGGTTTTTACATATTTTTGGAAGAAGTATACATGTATACTCTGATTCGGGTGATCTTAATGTTTGAAATAAATTATTTTATCACAACAAAATCGGTTGAAATATTTCTGAAATTTGTTATAACATTGAGTTAGACGAATTGCTTTCAAATGTGGCAGAAAGTGTATACAAGATCTTTAATAACTTGATTCTGAAGAGTAAAAAAGTAATTTTCCACAAGCTGACCTAAAAATACATTAAAAAAATCTTAATTTTATACATTTATTCTAATCAGTTAAGCATTTTGAAGAAATTATGGACCAATTTTTATTAATTAATGTTTATTTATGAAATACAGAGAACATCATTCATTATCAGATGTAGTTTAAAACATTAATTCACCATCAGTTTTTTTTTCTTTGAATATTAATTTCCTGTCTAAACTTATTGGATTGTTGTAGGTGAATGGTCAGAAGAAAGACTTCTTTCTATGGGGTTAGCTGAATTTCCTGATGTCCCTTCACCATTAACAGATACAGGAATGAAAGTTATTGGACAGTTGTTTCCTAGTCTAAAGTTTCTTACTGTAAATAATTGTCCACATTTGTTGGCCCCTGATACATGGTCTCCTAACAGTATGTAAGATTTTTCGTTTTGGTTTGATAATAGTCTTTTAAAATCATAAATAATATTCAACGTTAAACTGGTACACACAATTAAAAACATTTTATTTAGGCCTATCTATGGCTTTCAAAAAAGTTGACGACTCTACATTTTTCGACGTTACAACGTCATCCTCATGTAACCTACATGTAACGTTGAAACATGTAGAGTCGTCAACTTTTTTGAAAGCCATAGATAGGCCTAAATAAAATGTTTTTAATTGTG